GGCGGTGGTATCGTGCAGTTTGGTGGCGGCGAGGATTTGGAGATTGTTTGATAGAACTGGTGGTTGTAGTCACAGGAGAGATGGTGGTTATGTTGGTTGCGGTGGCAGACTTGATGTTTTTGTTGGTGAGGTGGTGGCTGTGGTGTGGTATGGTGTGGTGTGATAGTGTTGGGAGAGATGGTAGATTTTAGCAAGCGGCGATGGTTGATTGGAGGTGGTGGTGGTAGTGGTAGGTTGTGGTGGTTGTTGGAGCATGATGCAGCGACGATGTATGTGGTGATGGAGCTGCTGGCGGTAATGGTGAGGTGGTGGCGGCGGCGGCGATGGCGATGGTGGATCTGGCTGCGATTTTTGTGTGGTGGTGTAGTGGTGCGGCGACGATAGCAGGCATGTGACCAATTATTTGGTTATATGTAACCAAGTATTAAACCGTGACCTTAAAATTTGATAACTTGTGACCAAAAAATTTGAAAATCTGTGACCGATAGATAAACTTTGACCTGTAATTTTTTTGATTTGTTGTGACCTATAAATTTTTTTATTTGTGACCTCGAAATAATCCGTGACCAATTAATTTGATAATATGTTATCAGTAAATCAATTGTGGCCTATAATTATATATATGTGACCATAATTGTATAATTGTGACTTTATTATATTTAATTAATTAGCTAATACTTGAGTTTTGCAATTTAAATTTTGAAACTTGATACCTGAAAATTGAATTGTGTCCTGCTTAAGCCCTGACTTTTGAATTTTTCCCAATATAAAAAGGGTCATAATCCCCAATTCATATGTGATATCACATCATATAAACACAAAAATACAAGATAAAATATATTGAAGAGGAAGATCCAAAAGACCAAAACTCACAATCAAGAACAAGAACAAGAATTCAAGAATTTAAGAATCCATAATCAAGAATCAAATTGAAGAACAAAACAATCAAAATTATGGAGCACGAAGTCAAAATCAAGATCAAGAACTCAAGAATCAAAAGAGCCAATATTCGAGATTCAAGATACAGAATCAAGATCCGGTATTAAAAAATTATTCTCAATGAATTAAGGTATATTTCGCAATTCATAATTCGCTTGGTAATTTGACATGGAGGATCTTGACAATAAATCAATTATGTTTTAAAGTTCTTTAGAATTTAAAGTTTTATTAAAATTCTACTCCGTACTTTCACAATGGCAGTG